CCGTGTCTCAAAAATCCTGACGCCGCACCTGTGCGAGTGCGCGCAGCCACGCTCACCCCCAGACATCAGCTGTGTCTGATGCGCATCGGAGAGTGGAATGAGATTGCTTGACATCGCACCAAGCAGTTGGAAGCAGTGAAGTGGTCTTATGAAAATGAATTTCGATTTTGCATGTCAACATATGTCTGGTGAAATCTCAGTTGCAACGCTCCACATTGCCTCTCCCGGGTTCAAGTACTTCGTGGCAAAGCGCAACTTCACCTCAATTCGTGGCACAGCCCAAATTTGCATATGACTTGGTTGTGGGGTTCGACCATCGCAAAGAATACCTGTCAATTCAGATAATAATCGGTAAGATAGAAGATTTAAGATATGTTTAAACCACCAACCCGCTTTGATTGGTAATATCCTCATACTCAGTCTTGGTTGTTCCCATCTGAATCTCAATTTCAGGCTTGCTCCCACCCAGATAAAGAAGTAGAATTACCCAGTTACCCTTGTGGCTATGATTCACCCATGGGCTGGGGCAACTCTGATTTTGGTTGCGAGAATTCCCATGTTTGACGGAATAAACCTCACCAGTCAGTTCAGACTTCCGCTGAGGCACAGTAAACTTTTCGCCCGTGGCCTTCTTTTCGAGTGTCCCGGTGGGTGGCTCCTTCTCATGAAACGTCGGCGCATCTCTTATGTAGCCTGTGGGACAATCGATGGCTAAGAAAACATGGGTTTATCCACCAAACATTGGGGATTTAATATCATTCAACCAGCAAAAATGGGAGATGTATAGTCAATTTATATAGGTTTGTGTTGGGAAGCATCTCACTCGGCACTACTCGGCTAACTTGGATGGATTCATTAAGTATTATTTGTGGATATATAAACTACTTAGGTGGGGTTCTAAAATGCTATGTAAAGTAACAACAACAACAGCAACAGCAACAGCAACAACAACAACAGTAATAATAATGATAATAATAATGGTAATAATAATAATCATCATCATCATAATCGTAGAAAACTTATAACTCGGGGAGGCGCTGCCTGTGATGCCCTGGCTAAATGGTTGGTAGTTAGTCATGTTAGCCAAAGATGGTCCCAGAATGTCCCAGAGATTTTTGACCCATGACCCATCAACATCTTGCAGAAAATTGCAGAAAGACATATCGCAGATATCGCAGATATCGCAGAATATCTCCAAAAAGTCCACTGGGAGTCCACTGGAAAGATTGGCCAAGAAGCTGAAGCCATCACCATTCTCAGTGAATTTCCAAGTGTCGTCCTCTTCCGGGGCATCCGCTGCCCACATCCAAGTGGTGCCATCCTGAAACTTGCATTCGGATTATATCGGATTGATGATTTCCGGTCAATTCCACAGTCAGTCATCACTGCGTAACTTTGACATGGTGAAAGAAGTTGAACTACCATTGGTAATTACCATGAACTACCTTTGATCCCTCAGTTCTCTTGACGTTGCCTCGAAGGCCCACTCGTAGAAGTCTGCGAAGTTGGCCTTGGTGCGGGTGACCCTTGCTGCAGCGGCCGCAGTGGCAATCTGCTGTGACATGAGAATGATCCTGGAACGCCAAGATGGAGTGGGAATGAATATGAAATATGTGAATATGACCACAGCAGCGACACGAAAATATCAGACTAATTAATTCAGACCAAGGAGCATTTCTGGAGGTGTTCCACTTCATTGAGACTTCCTATCGGTCCGGCATTGTGCACCACCACATGAAGCAACAGGTTCAAGCAACCGTTTCGCACATTTGGCATGAGGAAGGTCTGTTTGAGCCCGCAACACAGTGGCCGCAACACAGTGGAAACAAGCTGGAATCTTGTGACTGCCACTGCCCGGTAGTCTACCAGCTCAAACCAGGTTCTGTTTAGCATTTTTTACTCACGACTCACTACTAAACTGCTCTCGGAATAGAGACCCGGCAATTGGTCACAACATCCAAGTGCCATTCCATGCCATTGCTATCTATTTCTTAATCAATCTGAATCAAAATGAGTGCCTGATGACGTCACCCATGGCATCCCATGGCCTCTTCTGGGATGATACTCTTGGATCCGTCCGAGGCCAGGAAGCGCTCGACCTTCAACCACGGCAGCTCCTGGCTGCCACATGCCGCCACGGTCTGCTGCTGGGAACATCCCACAAAGGGAGGGACCAAAGGTTGGCTTTGCAACATGTGAACTCCCAATTTGGCATATTTGGCATGCATTGTGGCATACTAAGTTTACACTCGCTGCCATGAGGTTTGAATGGAAACCAGTGCCGTGGCTTGGGGCTATCTGTGCCAGGGCTGATATGATTGACCTGGACAAAATGATTGACCCTGGACAAGACTCTGATCTCTGTGGACGCTCGCTTGAGTTTGCTCCTTCTTCAGCGCTGCTTCGACGCGCTTCCACCTATCTGGCCGTCGCTCCAGATTTACCACTTTGGCTTCCAATGCCTGCGAAAGACGTGGAACCATTGGTTTGTCTCGGGTTGTCAGCACATCCCACTGTTCCGTGCCCTACCGCTCAGCAAAAATTTCTGGACCCTGGACAACATGTCGGTCAATCATATCAATCTTTGAGAAATGAAGCATGGACATGTTTGGGCGAGAATGAAATGGCTCATCTCATCTCTTACAAGCAAAGAGTCGAGCAAAACCACAACAGTCATTTCATGTCATTTCTATTGGGCAAGTCAGTCCTGGAGTTCTTTGGCCACCTTGGTGCGGCAGTTTACATATTTCAGGCATTTTCAGGCACCACAACTGCATAAGTGTAAGTACATGTAAGTACAGTATGTGTGTGTGTGTGCTTAATGTGCATGCAAATGAAAGATAGATCTAATCTGATCTTTAAACGACCCATAAAATATCAGAGAAGTCAGAGAAGCACAACAATCCATCATGTCTGCACTGATGCACTGAAATGCCCCGACTCTGAAGCAGGAGCCTTTGGGACACTTGGTTTCTTAGCAGCTGCGGCCGCGGGTTTCTTGAGCGCAGCGGGTTTTTTTAAGGCCTTCATCAGAAAATGTCGGTCCAACCACATGTGTCTCAAAATTGGACAACCCACCACAAATCTTCCAACTTGGTCAAATTCCAAGTGGAAACCAGGATCAGAGATACACTTACACACAGAAATTAAAAGAATCGAAGACCAAATGCGCAGTTCATGCTTGCATTCAACTAAATGGCTGTGACTGGCCTTCATCGTCGACTTGACGGTCCCTCCAGAGGTGTGCTTGAAGGAGAAACAAAAGGCATCATGCACAAGATCAAAAAGCTTTGGAATAGTTTGGAATCAAGTTCTGGTTTTTGCGAGTGTCTGTTTCTGCACTTGCAAGTTTGTGTCCGGCCTTTCTTTGCTGCAGGTTTTTTCGGTGCCATGTTGACCTGCTGCAAAGAGCAAAGCAATCGATCATTGGCAACAGCTAGTCTGCCAGGTAACTCGATTACCCACGGTGAACATGTTCATTATGAAGTTCATACATGTTCTATATTGGGTGAATCCGGTGAATCCCATGCCATGTTTCTTTCTCAGAGTTCAAACGAAAGCATGGGCGATTATCAGTCAATAGTAAGTCGCTGGCTCCCAGCAGCAACGGTCCCAGTGCTGCGTCTGCAACTCTGACCCCACAGTGTCAGCACCACTTGTTTCTGAGCCCAAAGCTTATTCAGAAGTGGAAGCCTTGCGCAATCACAGGCGCGCCAACTTTTGCTGCATTTTTTTGGGCAGCCCATCCATCTTTGAATCAAACGATTGCAAGCGGGCAAAACATTCCTTTTGGAGCGGCAATCTGGTAGCTGTCGAAAAGGCGGAGCACTGCACGGGTATCACGCCATTGCGCCCTGCAGGATAAAACCCCACAAGTCCTACAACAGCATGGCACAACAGATTGTGGTGAGGGCTGCAACCAATACGTTGAGAACGCAAAGCACCAACATGGCACTGCCTCTGTACGTCACTGCAGGACATAAGCAAACTTTGCATTCGGTGCCCCATATACGCAACCCGGAGTGGTTCAGTCAAGCGAAATCAATGTCAAACACGGACCCAAATGCTGTTTTCAAAATGGGGAAGAGGTCTAACCGTCTAACTCAAATCAAGTTTTGTAAGGTTTGAATTTACCCATGATTATGTCTATCCACCGTCTCTATTTCCAAATCTTCAGGCCATGTGCAGATGCTGCCTGACTTGAAAACTCACACCACTGAACAAAAGAAAGGCAGGGGGTGTTCAGCACCAAAAAGCTACGCTGTCTCAAATGTCAGCAATCATGACTCACGACATTGGATTCTGAACACCCCCCGACCAGCATTTGCTGGTTGATCAAAATGTAGAAAAGGCTGGGTCAAGTCCAACCCTTTGAAATAAGGCCATTCCTGTTGATGTACGCCGTGTTCGACATCGTAAAGTGGCAACAAACACATCCCAACCATCTGCGCAAAATGTAAACATGTTAAACAAACAATTTCAGAAGCAAGAAAAACGCCTTGGATGTACATCAAGATCTTAGCTCTGGCAGCCTTTTTAGGCATCAATCATTCTTCGACTCATGCAAGTGGCCGCCTCACTGGTTGTGGTGCCAAAATTGCATCGTCCTCTTCTGTTTACTGCTACGCCTGAAGCATGGAAGCCCACAGCATGACAATGGCTGACGAAATTTAAATCATTGAGATATATCGATATAAAATAGAATATATATATATAATTATATCTATCTATAATTATATCTATCTATCTATCTATCTATCTATCTATCTATCACCAATGCTTCTTCAGCTGCTCGCTCAAACAAGCGGGCATGGTGGCATGTAGCTTCCAGAGTCACTGCTCGCGTTGGGTCTCCAACCTGGAAGATGGGATTTTGCAGCTGCAGTCCTGCTAAAGCAGAGGCAAGCAAACTTTTCCCAACACCTACCGAGTCCTACTGGCCCCAAAAGCACAACCACTGGCATCCCTTGCGGGGAGAAGGATGGGTTGCCATGGGAGCGCTTCGATGATGGGAAGGTGCTCGAATTTGTGGCTGACTTGAACAGGGAAGGAGTCGGAAGGATCAATAGGCAAGACTGCATGGAGACACAACAACACCATAAGAAAATGTAAGAGCCATGTATTCACACTGCAAAGGAAAATATCAAATCTAAGACGTTGTCGCTCTTACGAGCACAGGTCAAATAAACAGTATCATGGCATGTTCTTCCGATGGTGCCTTGACCAGAGGGTCGAAATGAACGAAGCTTTGTGCGTGAGTTCACCAAGTGAAGGCTATGTGCAAGTCGTGAACTGTCCACTCTGGATTTTTTCTCAGTCAAAACACTAAAAGAAGGAAGAGCCCTTTGGCCCAGACAAAAATCTTAGCTTTGAAGCTATGTGAAAATTAAAACGCATCAACATCTTAGCAAACTTGACCCCTGAGCAATTGCAAAGGGTCAAGGAAAGAAATTAAGATAAATTAAGCGCATGTGGCTCCAGCAGCTTTAAGCATCAATCGTTCTTCAACTGATGCAAGTGGTCACCTCACTGGTTGTGGCGCCAAAATTGCATCATCCTCTTCTGTTTGCTGCTACGTTTGGAGCATGGAAACCCACAGCATGTCAATGGCTGACGAAATTGAACCATTGAGATATACTGATGTACTGTCTCTGTTTGAGTTTGGGGCCTGAAAATGGATTGGCACATCTCTGTTGGTGCAATCGATCAATGATCCTGGCTCCAAACAAAAGAAGTTCGGGACAAAGCTACGAATCACTCATAGCAGCTCTCATCGCAAAAAATGTCTTTCAGCTCGCCTGGCCTACACCCCAGCCCTTCCAGTCTGAAGATTCTGGAGCACACCAATAGTTGATGATGTTCCTTAGCTCTTCAATTCTGGCCAGGCTTTAGATGCGGTTTCTACATACAATACCTTGGTACCTGCTTGCAAATTTTGGGCATTGTGGGCTGTTTAGAGATTTAAACACCTGGATGAGAGGGAGGAGACAGAGAAAACAATTTCGTTCAGCAGTTCAGCATGAGAGCAAAATTCCCTTCCACCAGGTTTCTGGGTCGACGCATATTCACGTGCGCGGGTACCATTGGGATTGATGGCCCAAGAATGCTCCTCAACTTCAAACAGGCTTTGAAGATCTTTGAAGTACGCAGATCCAAAGAATGATCTCCACATCTCTCCAAATCTCCAAGAATTCTGCATGGGAAGACTTGACATGCCCTCCCCAAGTCCTGCATGTAAAGCGCAAACTTGCCTCATTTGTGCTACATGAAACTCAAACCCTGAAACACCCACTGCAAGATCTGCAAGTAGTGGTGCGTGTGCATTTTGGTACTCCTGTCGGAAGCATTTCAAGTTTCACTGCTGGAGTATCCTCATTTCATTCATGGCATCAAGCCAACAAGTGCACCAATTGTTTGTCAGTTGAGAAGTCATAGTGAGTATCTTGAACCACTGCATAGCCAAGATTTCAAACTGAACAGTCAGGCAGCTCACACAGCCAGGTTGCTGGAGCAGTTGCGAATGCTCAATTGGGTTGGGAAGAAGTCACAAGCGTAACCTGAGAATTGAAATGCATGGCGAAAACAGACTATGCGAATGTCCTCTACTTGGTAATGAGCACACAGCTCTGAGATGATCATCCCACTTAGAAAGTGGTCGCAAATCAACCATCAATGGGGCAATAAGACCAAAGTACGCGGTTTATCTGATCATGGTTGAACGATGTATCCACTTTCCAGCTCGGATGATCACCCAGGCCACTTATATCTTCAAGCAACGCAAGGTTTTCTGAGAGGGGCAGGTTGCTACGGAAAATCGAAGCTCTGCAGCTGCGTCAGAACACCTAAAGGACCAAATACCGGGGGAGACATGGATGACATGGGGAGATTCAAACAAGTTGGGACTGAGATGTCTGTTGACTTTGCGGTTGATTCTGCAATGATAAACTCAAGGGCTGCCACTCTCATGCCTGTATCATCTGACAATATCCTCCTGTTGGCTGACCACTCCATCAAAAGCTTCGAAAAATGGCAATGACTGCAAGTGTAGTGGCCCAGCACAGGCAAGGCACGCATATCTGCCAGAGGGGTCCAAGGCTTCATACCTGCGAGGCGCTCAAAATAGGTTTATATAGAATGTTTTAAACTTATTTTAAATCCTTGAAATCTACACTTTTGCCTCTTCTGTTTTTTTTTGCAAAACCATAGCTGTTCCGAATCAAGCACACTCTTCAGACAGCAATGCGGTATGTGTTTTGGAACATGGACCTGCCTGCTAGACATGGAAAAGCCCGCCCAGGAGGCATAGTTCGGATGGCCATACATTGGGGTTCCTACCCCCGCCCAGTCTCCGTTTAACCTTGGAGCTTCGGCTGACACAGGCTGTCACCCCTTCAAACTTAATAAACTTCTTGAAATAAAAAGAACTCAACTTGGACCAAGAAGCTCGATGAATTCGGTGTCCCATGGACCGCTCAGGTAACGCCACGATATCCTGGAAACAACCCACGCAACCAGGGGGTCATGTGCATGGAAACGAAACCCTTACTGCGGCCGCTGTAGGAATTCAGGTTGCTACATCATGTAACAGAAAACAAGCTCACATAAGTCACATAAGCTCACCTTTTTGGATGTGAGTTGAGGCAAGTGCACATTATCCTCTCTGATATGGGCCTTTGAAGTCCAGTGCGGCGTAGGTGAAGCACCTCATGCCAAGTCGTCCAAGTCGGTGGACCATTGCTGGTGCATTGAAACAATTCAACAACCAGCCGTAAAGCTAAACGTCACAATTCATCCATGTACTATAATAATTATCCTATATTATCCTATATATCCTCTTGTTAATTTTCCTGGCCAGTGCTGGGCAACACTCAGGTCAAGAGATTCACAAAATCATCGCATCTCACAGAAACCGATGCCTCTTTGAACCCGCTCGCAGGGATGATCACATCCCAATCTTGCAGAATGATGTCATTCTTGCAGTCGTTGATGAAGGTGAAGTTAAACACCTGAGTCAACAGGAAATCAATGCAGACTTGCTAAGACTTGCTGAGACATGCTGAGACTTGCTGAGACGTGCTGGTTTGGATGTTCCTAGTTTGGCTGTGCCGTTTCTAGTGAAACCATCTGAATCTGAATTCCTGACTTGGGAAGATCCAGCGGCAGCTCCAGGCTGGCACAGGAACGCCATGGCAATGTAGCCGAGTGACAAAATCATTGTGTTGTTCTGTTTTCAACCTTGAATGGAATCCACCATGTGGAATTTATGCAAGTGTTGGACACGTTATGTTGCAAGAAGCTCTTTGATAGAGGCAACATCAGCAGCAAATGTGAAAAAAAACGGTTTGACAAATCCTGCATGAAAACAATGCTTTCATCATGAGCCTTCAGATTTTCTCGGTTTATGTCGGCTGACAGGAAACCCGAGATTTGAAGTGGCAACGGAACGTTGGCATACACTATACACTTTTTACATCTTTTTACATTGCATTTTACATGGTCTGGCAATGTGGTAACCCACCTTGACACACCTTCTAAAACATTGCTGCTCTAACAGCAAATCCTAAAACGTTCATACTTGATTGTTTGCGTCAAGTTTCCTACGTTGCTTGCACAGTGCAACAGAGCACTGTGGAAATAATTCAAGGGCGGTTTTAAGTTGGTCTATAGCACCCGTCAACTATATATACAGTATAGATATATCTACCAGCAGCCCTTGTTGCTGGAGTTGTAAGTTATCAACCAACTTAGTTAACTATAGGGTGCCGCCTTGTTTAGTCTTCCATCAAAAATATTGTATGCATGTATGATGTATTGTATGTCTGGTTGCGAAATTTGATGTCATGCATGGAAGAAACCCTAAAAACCCCGGGTGAAATATAGCGAAACACGTTTGTATCGTTTGTTCTGTATACTGCTAACTACTCCTCCCAGGCCAAAATCTTCAGGAATCAGCCACTACTCCCGGCTGACGTTCACAAGAGGTTCAACTCACAAGGAAACCAGTGAATAACACAGTCGTTCAAAGCCTTGCACCCCCATGTTTCTCATGTTTGCAGGACTGCACAGGTTGCAGAAGGAGGTTCATATGCAAATGCCCGAAACCTCGTTATGATACTGTGGGCACTTCAGTGGAATGCACAAGAATCAGGGACCCCCAAATCCAGCAATGCACGAGCTAGAAGGGTGCTGCATCACATCCGTAATATTCATAGTCATTCATAGTACGTCGTAATTATCATTGGGCATTGTCCGGCAATTGGAATTGGTGAGAGAAGACCCGAAATCTGAGCCAAGGCCATGCGAAAGATTTGCACCTGGATCTCCATCAACTGATTTCAGAGACAGATCCTGAGAAAAGAATAGAACAGAAATATTCAGCGAGCTAATGGACTTAGCGGACTTTTTGACTGACTCAGGCAGTACCTCTGTTGAGTTTGTGGAGACTTCGCAAGGTCGGTGCGGTTTGACCTGAAGCCTCAACCGGACTGTGACATGCTCGGACGGCCGGAAAACAGCTTTGCCCAATGTGGTCAAGTCTAGGTGAGGGCCAAACAGCGGAAACACACAAACATTTCGCATCATTTCGCCCTGGGCGTTGACACTAAACAAAGTGGCCCGTTCATGGCACTGTCAGTGTCCGGGTTCCAGGTTGCAAGCTTCCAACAAAGCCCGGGCAACCTGGCACTGTACAAATCGATCGAAATGGATTGCTGCCTGCGCACGGCAAAACGCCAGATGTGCTTCCCAGGCATGTTGCCACAACGGGACGTCTTGAGGCCTCAGCCCGCTATTGAGTTCCGAGACCGAACATGTTTTTTTGCACACCAGGGGTGCGACTTGGGCAAAGCCCTTTTGGGTCCACAAAAGAAACATCATCTGTCACTTTACGAAAACATACGAAAACATATCACCCACAAATCACCCACAAATCATCACATGATATCACATGTCACCACAACGGTAAACACAGGGGGCACCGAAGGTATCCCCTGAAGATGCTCAAGCGAACTCACTGCATCTCACTGCTGCTCATCACAGCAGCCACCGCCGGGACAGTCCGTGCCAAAGCCTACCGCTCGAGAGTTTTGAATTCATGTGCTAGACAGGCTGACCAAAAACATTCGAGCAGCATCTTGATGTTTTGCAACAACTTGCAGCAGCTAGGTCTAGGCGATTACAACAACGAGAACTACAAATAGCATACAGACGCATACAGTACATGCCCCTACTTTGCTTGTAAATCCCGCTCAGAATCACTGCACCTCCGCATCGACAAAAGGATGCTTCAGCAAAGTTCGAACAACGAAAACACCAAAGTCAGCTTGAGCAAGCTCTGCCACCTCGCGTACGAAGCAACTCTGTTGACAATTGTCTCCATGTTTGTTTAGTGCTGTGGTTTCAACTCCTTTTAAGGTGATTGAACTTGAGGGCCTAAACAAATATTGAAGGGTGCAAAAGTTGAATCTGCTGACAAACATGGACTGAACGGAAGCAGCCAAGGTCACGCAGATTTTCACACAACTTGGATCAAAAGCTAATCTGCAAGAAGCAGCATCTGGGTGCCCGGCAATGTGAGGCTGGACCAGGAAGTGCACAAGGCTTTCTTGGTCCTTCAATTCAAAACAAAGCACAAAGCCAGTCCAATGCGTCAAAACACTGGTTCAAAAGATCTCAGCCGAAGAAATAAAACAACTACCGATTCCAAATTCACAGTCCTTGGTAGAGCAGTGCAACAGTGCCGCTTCCAGGACGTAGCTCGACTGAGCACATGAGCATCATATGGGCTAGACAGTTATATAAGCAGTCAAGCAACGTAGCAGCACACATCAGTCTGTTGAGGGACATGGATGGACATGGTATATACGGTATAACATGATCGCATGGTTTATTTTCTGTTTGTCGCTCACCCTTCCTGGACACCACCTGGGGTACCAAACGCTTCGGTGTCGAGCGTTCGCCAACAAGTCATGGCGCAGAACGTCAGCGATGATCTCCTTGTGCCTCCCAGCCAGGAATCTCCAACCGTTCCCTCAAAAACCATCCCAAAACCACCAAGCCATGCCAAAAAGGATTCCAAAGCCAAAACCCAAAGCTATCCCCAAAAATCCAGGTTCAAAAGTGGCCACCACCCCCGTATCCTTGCATCACCGTGCTCCAACACGGACTGGACCACGTGATGCCCGAAGTTGTGCTTGCAAAGGTCAAGGGCCTTGACATGATACATCGGTCAAAGGACGACAAGAAGACGTCCAAAAGTCCAACCAGAGGTCCAATACTGATTAGGATTCATCCGCCTACAGTATGCATTGGGCAAGTCGCATTTCCAGATGCTTCAACTGTTGCCGGTCAACAGACTGGAGATCAGTGCCAAACCTCCTCACGATCCTCAAGCAGCGTGTCGATGAGCTTTTGGGTGCTCTCCTGAGGCATAGGTGGAAAGGTGCAAATGATTGCACGATGTGAGCATGTATCATCTATCTACAGCATGAATTCTACAGGTGTTGTATCTTTGGTATTTACATCGGTTGTGCGTCGCCTTGCGGGGTCCGACATCCAATTGTGCCGGAGCTCTATCTATTGAATTTTCGTGGCCAATCTATTATCCAAAAGGGCCAAGGACTCAGAGTAAAGTAAAAGCTGAAGACTGTGTTGGCTCGCCCTGAGTTCTCGGCATCCTTATTCCTTACTGTACCAGTTTAGTCTGTCTAGACAGTTCCCTGATTGCCCCACAAAATCCCGCCTCAGATGAGCAGTGCTCCACCAAACGGCACACAATCCTGCAACCAAAGCGATGGCGAGCCTCACAAAATCCGGAAAGATCCGGAGCAGTGACTCAAAAGGCCGACTTCTCCACCCAGTTGTGAGCGTAGACGAAGCTGAGTTTTCGACAAAACGTTGCGCGTTCACAAGCAGCTCATCAGCGATGAAGGATGAGGTTGCTGAACTCAGCTGTTCAATCACCTCTCAGCATCGGATCAAAGCCGAATCAGGCTGGACTCAAATTGATCAAAAAGCGAAGCCACGGCAGCCACGGCAGCCAAAGGGTTGCCTTCTGCAACACGTAGTTCGCATGCGGTGATTCCGTTGCTTCCTTCACATGTCCTTGCAGCTCTGCAGCAATGGCCTTCCGCTGGCAAGAAAACAGAAAGCAAAAAAACTCAACTCACACACGTGATTCACACTTTTCCTATGTATATGTTTTTTCTGTCTGCAAGTACCGTACTTTGAACATAATTCAACCCCATATCTTGACAAGGGAGTCACTGGCGCAGTCAAGATGATGGCAAGCCTTTCCCACGGCAGGCTTGGCCGTCTGGATGGCAAGCTGCACCTTGAGTGGCCATCGAACTACTGCGCAGGTGCATGTGAGCTCCATTCGCACGTCTTAAAACGAAAGTCCATGAACAAGGCTCAAAGAGCTCAAAGGCTCTTTTTCTCAGGGCCACACCACACGACAGCCAAGAGGATGACGGGAATAAGGCCATACCTAAGCCAAGTTTTGATTGGCATCTTCCAGCTGCGATGAATTGGAAATGATCCCAACTCCGGACATGGTCCAAAGCAGTTGATCTCGTCCAAAAACGTCAGAATTCTGAGGGAATATGCAGCTAAATGCAACTTTTCATTTTCATCTGTTTTCTATGTATAAATATTATATTTTTTCCATCTTTTTCCCTGATTTCAGGTATAAGGAAAATACTGTACATGACACAAACTGGGCCTAGCATGACCAGCGATGCGGATCCAGTTGCGGATCCGAGGAGTTCGGCTTTGGCCACAGCAGAAGCGTGCTCCGCATCACCAGCCTTTCCACCGAAGCTCAATCGCTACGTTCAAAATCTAAACAATCCCCACATTGCCCACATCCAATCGATTTTAAGATGTTTTCCATATACCTGCAATTTTAGGGGCTAGCCCGGCTAGCCCCAAATTCTCTTGAATTTGAGATGCCCAGCCCTCTCGGAATGGCCTCGAGATCCCCCTTCAGCTTGGCAGACTGCTCATCATCCAGAATGGCAAGGTCCTAAATATGCGTCCTAAATATGCGTTCGTTACAAGAAACATTAAACCTGAGAAGGGGGGGACGAAAGCCAGCCCTTAGCCCGAATCTTTTCCCAGAGAAATGTCGTGGTAGCGGCCATGATCGAAGTTATCACCCCAAACTTCCTCCTGCAGCACCTTTGGAAGACTTCTCCTTACATTGCAAC